TACTGACGTTATATCAACTGAGGTTGCGGGGATCGATTTGGCGACTCTTGACTGCTTGCGCTGCCAACGCTCAAGAAAACTCATTGCAAAATGAATGCCTTCCAGATTTCGCCCTGAAAAGTAAACATCAAGAGTACTGATAAGGGATTATAGTAGTTCTGATTTAAATTTTTACTCAACGGTGCATTAAGATGATCCGCTCTTATTATCTGCAGACCGAACCTGCTCGAATTTATTTATCTCTAACAGCCTAACAGCAAAACATTGAATAAAAAAAGGAATTGACCAAACTTTTGCATGATATATTCGTTAAATAAGGGAAACTCCAGGTCATGCTCTTATTATATGCAAGGGCTTCACGGTTCCACATATTTTACTAGGTAATAACACTAAAATCCACGTACTTCTAACCAGTTCTCAATGTGAAGAATGATCGTTTGGAAACACGGGTTAGCGAACACCACAGTCTAGACGGGAATTTAAGCGCGTGATAGTTGGTAAGCATCCAAGACATTTGAATTGCAAGCAGCTCTTTCCTGCGGCTTCACTAAAAGTGCAGTTGCCAAGGTTCGTTTAACATTACAAAACGTAGATCCGTTGGTTGTAGGAGCTAATTCTACGTGTTTTCAAAATTTCGAAATTTAGCGCGATCGCTACATTAAAGAAGTTGAATCCAGAAGGATAAAGTGTTCCGTCTAAAATTTGAGATTTTATACGTGAGGACCGGCAACAGACCAGGAATGTTGAGATCACGCGGCCAAGTGGATCCTAGGCAGAGTACGATAGCGTCAAAATCCTCGAGAAGCTTCTTGGCGGGTAGCACTTTGACTTCTTCATCTGGAGGTCGACAGGCAGTGTTAGGATCCATTGAAGAGCTGCCCACCTGCACATTACACAAGAATTCCACGCCATCTGCCCGCATCAGATCCAGCCGACGGTCAAGAACGCGGCGGTCCAGCTTCATTGTGGGAATCCCGTATCGCATCAGACCACCTGGTAGATTACGGCGCTCCATTACCACTACTTTGTGACCCACCTAATAAATAGGAGTGGTGCAAGTGTACAGGTCAGCTCAAAATAGGCCTAGCTATTTTTAAACAAGAACGAAAGCATTTGCCCTTTAAGATTGACGAATGACAGCCTTGCGTTCAGCTTAGCAATTGAGGCTCGTTACAACAGTGGCTTAGACAAAGATAGCGAAATGCCTAGACGAAGTAAGTTAATTCCTAGATTGCTGAGGTGATGAAACTAAGTTACCAAGTAGAAGAAACATTTTCATACTTAGGATTTCACAGAGAGATGCGTACATTGTCTCTGGTAAAAAACTGTGGAATGAATATTTCCAGATAAATTGGACAATTAAGCTCAGGCTAGCGAATACAAAATCTGCCAATTCAACCAAAGATACCGAGAGACATTGATCTACCTTGATAAGCTGAGCAGCACATGCCAAACCAGAAGGTCCAGAACCAACAATAGCAATGCGTTTTCCGGTGAGTTTGGAGACGGGAAGAGGTCGAGGAACGTTGAGTCCGCGCTCCCAGCCAAACTCACCTATGGCGCATTCAACGTTCTTGATTGTCACTGGAAGATCGATGATACCCAACACGCAGGCACCCTCACAAGGAGCAGGGCATACGCGACCAGTGAATTCAGGGAAGTTGTTGGTCTGTGCCATCGCTTCATGCGCTGTCAGCCACTGATTCTGCAAGACCATGGGAAATTGTGATTGGTTGCTCGTCTGCAGAAATTGCTAATTTATGCGAGGACCTTTTCGGATGGGTGGAGAATCACCTACAATGCTGATAGTAGCCTGGCTGGCTGTTCCAATGTACTCTAGTCTGTTCCCTTCATTCTTCTTCGAACACTTGGGGCGAGGTGCGTTCGCATCCACCTACGACTTCACCCGAGTGATTTTGGGAGGTATATCACTGGTATTCACTAATTTCACTGCAGACTTCGGGTAGCAAACTAACTTTATCATAAACATTCATAGTGCATGTTTATAATCGA